GTATATAACTATAGGCTGTAGTAAAGGATCATACCTTAACTGAAATTGAAAGCACTTCTGGCTTTATAGAACAACTAATTTAGGGAAAGTTACTTGATGTAGATGGTGTAACCTGTCTCTGTATAACTAAAAGAACCAAATTAGGCTTTGGTCGCACCTATATGGAAGTCTATGCTAAAAAGAGTTAAAAATTTACCAGTATGAATGTCACACCAACCAGGGTTGAGATATCCCAAGCTGGAAATTATACAATATATACAACAAAGGTCTATGGCTGGAAGAGATATGTCTCAAAACAAGTTCTTAATGAATACTATAACAGTAAGTACTTAAGGGACAGATAAGTTATATAGTATATGAAATACTAAAAAAAGAATATTAAAACCTGCAGATATAGACAAGATCCGTGAAAGGTGGATGTGGAGAGTTTGTAGATGTGGGTTTTGTTCCTGCTGCAGGTATACCAATCTGGGAGGCCTTTAGAGACTGATAACCTGAATGAACCAAATTGAGAGTTACTGAAGTTTGATTGTGAGTTATGGGGAAATACAGTTGGATAACTAGAATTAGTTAGTTGTAAAGTACAAAATCTAGGTAAAGATATAAGTATGATACAGAATACTTTGGTAGGTTAAGGTTACAGATAAAGTAGTCTGAGTCTTGAATCAGAAATTAGTTTAATAAGTAAAATTGCATGTAAAATGTATAATAACTTAAGAATTAATAAAGATGAGAGGCATGACCTCACTTTAAAAATAAAAAATATATATATATATAAATGAGCAAGCAATTGTATATTAAATTTTTTCAAATAGAATCATAAATAAATTTTACAAAATTTTAAATAAATGATAGATAATGCCTTTTGATTCTAATTTTGGTTTATAATATTAAAGAAATTGTATTTTAACCTATTTTATAATATTGAAAAATTTTTTGATATTGCACCTTTAAGCATGAGATTTTTTTCTCAGTATAATAATATATTAAATAGGCTGAAATGTAGAATATATATAAAAGGGCAAAAAAAAACTTATCTGATATTTTTTTACTCTTCACTAGTTCTATATTGGTATATTTCTTTATAATATTATTTTCTACATCTTTTATGTCACTTATATCTAAGCTTCTAAATTTAGTAATTCCTTCTGAGATATAGCTTCATAGCCTTATAGACTATTTCTAACCTTGGTTATCTTTAGCTAGTTAGTCCAGATAGTATTATGAAGAGGAACTCATACTAGCTTAGGTTAAGCCTCATTATTAATACCTAGTTTAGTTAATATGCTGCCGATTTCCATTATCATATTGAGTAGGTATATCTGTATATTGGTGCAGACTATCTTGTTGCATTATAGATTACTCTATAACTTTCAGATTGCAGATTTTATATTACTTTTCTTTCATAGTTTAAGCTATAGTATTCTAATGTCCTGACATTTTAGATTACAAGATGCTAGAGATTTAGACCTGGTTGTGGTTTGCAGTCTGTAATATTTTTAATTTTAGTATTTGGTATTTCTTGTCAATTTCTGATATATAAGCCTGATTTGTACAAATTGTACTACCAGCCTAGTAAATTTAGTTATTTTGAGTTTTTATCACATATTCTAAGATTTGGCCTTCTTACTCTGTCCTCATAGGTTTCTTTATTAATAGGCCAAGTGACTTAAGGCCAGATGTACTTTTGAATTTCGAATAAACAATCTATTACTACAAGTTGTTCTTATATTTACTACTTTTCTCACTATTCCAGTTTTGTTATTGTTATATTACTCTTTTAATCAAATACTCCAACTACTGAGGATGTTGGTGCTGCTCTGATCACTCCTAATCAAAGACTAATATGCATGATCTTCATATAACAGAACCTACTATGATCTATCATATGTAATACAACTGATTCATAATTAGACCTTCTTTTAGAAATTTTTTTGTTTAGTTTCATACTTGCATTAGACTTAACACAGAACTCAATATTTGATTATAGCTTCTTACTATATTACAGAAGTGAAAAATCTTAAGATTTTTGCATCTAGCTTGACTTGAACCATCAGCCTAGTCTGTGAGGGTTTGGCAGCTTAACTGCTAAGCTATAGGGCCCAAACTCTTATTTATTATTCTTTTTTTTATATTCAGCAGTCCTGCCTCATGCTTTATTAGAGTATAAGAAGATCAATATTAATAGTAAATATAATTTTCTATACTACAGTCGGGGGTATTTCAAAATTTGAAGATCATTTCTAGAATAATCAGTGATCATTCTATTAAATTTATCAAATTTGATTGGTGCTTGATAGTTAATATTCGTAACACTTTATAGATCTAACGTTGCAAAAAAAATCAAAGATAACTATTGAAATATATATTTTTGAGCATATAGTTTCAGGATCCGTAAGAATCTCTGTGACTTTAAAAGATAGTTTTTCTTTAATTTAAGTTCAGATTTTTGCTTTATTATATACTATTTCAGTAGTTCATTTAATTTCTAACCTTTTTTTATTTCTATATTTCTGTATTTAAGTCTTCAGATATACGTTGTATACTTCTTACTTTTTATTTTATGTGCTCTATTTCTGTACTTACAGGCCTCACGTTTATTTTCAGAAACCTTTAACTGCCATAAATTAACTTGTTAATCTTGGACATGAATCTATAAATGCTTTAATAAACCAGCAGCTAAGTTTTTTTTTGTTCATTTTTGTTTCCTTTTTTTTTTTTTCAACGTCCTAATATTTCTTTTAATCTTACTATATTCGAACAAAACAAAACATTAGAATATTAAAATAATTATTATGAATAGAAAGTTGGGCTAAATATAATCATTATATTCAACCCTCCTGGCATAACCATTAAAATCATCAATGCAGCGATGTAAGTGCCAATTAAAGTCAGATCATTGTATTAGATGAGAAGATATAACGAAAATGATATCTTAATATCATATTCAGAAAGTGCATCAGCCGTAGTTAGTGATTTTTGGCTAATCAAAATTTTTCGGCTATAATTAAGCCGATAAATTTTACCAGCTTAGCCAGCTTAGTGATTTTATAATTACACCATTTAATTTGGACTTTTACTGAAAATTTTGGCCTCAATTTTGTTTATATTTTAGGTTCATTCATTTTTTACCTCGAATGCTACAATCCTAGTAATAAAATCAATAAGATGAATTTAAAAAAATCAACCGGCTAAGCCGATAATTTGCTTTTAGCCGATTTTTTTACTATCGGCAAAGATCACTAGCCGTAGTTTAGGTAATAGTCTCATAAATCTGGTATTTTGCAAAAATTTACAACATAAATTTTTACTAATCAAGTTTATTTTTAATTGATTGCTGGTAGAAAATGGTTTTTAACTTAAGAATATGTTTTGCTTGCTCTAAGCTTTTTATAACGTTATCCATTTTTTAAACTGGTAGATAAGGTTTGATTCAAAAGTTTCTAAAGCTATTCTTGTGAACAGATTGTAAGGTTTTTCAACAAGATCAAGTACCTATATGTAAATATGGGTTGTTAACTTAGTTAATTGCACCTTTACTTATAGTCGTATAGGAATATTCATCAAATTTGAAACAATAATCGTTGGCAATAGCATGTTTTAGCGACGATAGAATACCAAGGATATAATGACCCGTCGACACATTTACGCTTCTATTTTTGATTTAAATCAACCTTATCTATCTTACAGGAATCATCAAGTTTATACCTCTAAATCTGTAAAAGTTCAGCTGAGTAGTAATTTACTGTATTTGCACGAAATAGCACCCATAGACGTTATTTTGAGGAATACAACTTAGAGATAATCAATTTAACTGAATGCGAATCATATTTCAGAAAATCGACAAAATTTATTATAACTCTTTTTAACGCTTATGGACACCATTTCGCACAAATACAGTACAATCATCTTTGACAAGCTTGAATTTATAATGATTTAGATTAGTCACTTAGCCGTTTTTGGCAGTTGTAAGGATATTTCTGCATTTTGTCTTACTGAATTATTACGTTGCTTTCTTAGATCCAATACATTCAGATCTACGGTCGCTCTTGTTAGGCTTTCAAATGTAATTATATCTATTTCAAAATTCATTATCCACTGTTGCATTTGATATTTATAAATTCTTGATAAACTATATTTTTAACATTTTCTAGTTTTTATAGTAGCTTTTTTTTATGCTTCTACTGTGCATTTTTACTCAAATGACTTAGAATAAATTAGCAAGTTTGTCAATTAATAAAATAAAGATACCTTAAAATAAATTGAATAATTGGATACGTTTTACAAATATTAAAAAGTTCGCTATATTTAAATTCTAAACTTATGTATGATTCTATGCACCGCATATAGGCTACAAAAAACAATTACTATGTGTAGGAAAACATTGGCACTTGCACTTTACAAAAAGTATCGCCCTGATGTTTGATATCATAATCTTGAATCAACCATGAAAAAGCATTAGTAGATGCATTTTCAAAAATACAATGCTAGCTCTTGGATGCGTTATTAAATAATCTTGAATTGGAAAATAAAAAAAAATATAGTGCTTGTTTGAGGTTTATAAATTGTGGCTAAAAATTTCTAATCATAAATAAACATTTATAACTAATTTTTTTATATAAAACCTCAAGTATTTTGTAAAATTAATAAAATTATTACGAGTATCAGAATAAATTACATATAATCACGAATATTCTATAATTTTCTAAAATGTGGATCATTGTTATATTTGAAATTTCTATATTTGGTAAAATCCAATTAGGGTTTTTTAGAATTCAAAGATCATTTCTAGAATAATCAATAATCATGCATTGACATGTGATTGGTGCCTGATAATTTTTTTTATAAAACTCAAAAATTGCCTTGATTCGGTGTGACAAAAGTCAAGACTATTACTGTATAAGAAAAATATATTTTCATGTATATAGTTTCAGATCCCAACTAATAAACTAGTTTTCTTTTAAGTCAAGCCTAAAAACACATTTATATACTGATTAGTAATGGATTCAGAATCAGAAAAAAAACCGCTCTGTTTGTTCACTTTCTTTGCTAAAAATTATCCAGAAAGCAAGTTAGTAAAGTGTCTAGTAGAATGTAAGACTAACAAGGATCAACATTAGCGAAATGCATCAGCTCCTGCAGCAGTAAAGAGATTAACAGAAGTGGCTAAGTATTTTTCTGAATTAGCTTTCTTAATTAGTTCCATAGACTGTTTTTCGTTATGTGAGCATCATTACAATCAGATTGTTGCTAAAAACTCTTTTATTAATCAATTAAAAAAAGCAGGTGAACAAGATTCTGTAAATTCAGATGAATCTGTGAAAAAAAGATTAAAGCTCTCCAATGTTGATGAATTGCAACTTGATTCATCCATGAAAACTTTTGCTGATTTTGGTGTTCAAGTTAATTTATTAGAAAAAACGTTTGTCGATTTTGGGTTACAGGTATCTCTGCCGGATCCAAAGTATAAGATGCTTTTAAAAATAATAGAGGAATTAGAAAATCTTAATAGGCAATTATTATCTGAAAACAAGACATTGAGAAAAAGGTTAGATGAATAATTTGCTGATCGACAAGAACATATTAATTCAGTAATAGAAATTGCTAAAAGGGAACGAAGTAGCTTATATGAGGATATAACAAATTTAATAAAAAATCATAAGCGGTTTAATTTAGGTAGTCTTTTAGAGTATTCTCCTTCCAAATGGCTTTCTGAACAAAATCCGGTTATTGTAAAGTTCATAGAAACCCTCACTTATAATGAAAATGAACATCAGCATGAAGGAGAAAAGCTTTTTAAACGTGTGATAGTGATTGATTCTATATATGGATCCAGGCACTTAAAATATGTATCTGCTATCAATTTAGCCGCTTTAGTAATTAAATATTCATTAGCAAGATCAAAAATGATCATTGATATCGACAACCATATCATTAGTTCAGGTAGTTATAAGATGTTTGTTAATTGGTTAGAAAGTTTAGCAACGAAACAACCACCTCTTCCCAAAGGTCTTTTATTTTTGGCGGTTGATAATGAGCAAAAAGGGCAAAAAAATTATTTAGATCGCAGGAGTAATACCATTGTATTTCATACTGTTACAATTTTTATAGCTAATTATGATTCAAATAATAATATACAAGATGCGAATCCTTGGCTATATTCTGAACTTAGCCAAAAGCAATATGAGGAATTGTTTTATCTAACTTCAGGTATGGAAAATAATATTTATGAAGAACTTACTAATTATCTTTCTACTATTTTAGAAAACCTTCTTATCGAGAAAAATCAAGAAAAGAATATGATCGACAAATTAGTACATTGTCAAAGTCAAACAGAGTATATGAAAAAATGTCTGGTTTGTCAAACTTCTAATATTGATAACAGAAAACGAGTTTGTCCAACGTGTAATAATAAGCTACTAACAATTTCGGAAATAAACTAACAATTTAATGAGCCGTCTAATACAGATATAGTTAAAAGTCTCCAGATATTCGCTCTTATACATTAGAAGAGGCACGGTTAGCTCCAGAAAATGAGATTTATATACCGCAACTATTTGTTCCTGATCTGATAGAAATTAATCCAAATTCCATCGCGAATATTCAAAAGGTTCTTGAGCATATTGAAGAAATTTCTGGAGTTAAAAATGGTAGCCGTAAAAGGGTTGCAATTACTTGTGATGGTGTTCCATATCATCACATACAAAAAATTAAAAAGGATTATCCATGGCTTGTATTAGTTCCAGGTGCTCTTTACGAAGAGATGAATATGTTAAGTGC